GACAAGTTTCCTAACTAGTTAATATTGAATTAGTTCACTTTTTAATATTTCGTAACTACTCAATTCCTGTTGAACTGTTGTCATGTATACTCGATTAATCCCAACTGTTTTGGAGAATATTAATCAAAGATCATCATTTTAACTTCTGATCATTGCCTTAAATAAATTCAGACAAGTTTCTTGAACGAAACGTTCGAATTATCTGAAATTTCAGTCTTTGAGATTATTATTATTATTATTATTTCATTTGCAGTTTTCACAAATAATGTCTTCTATACACTCGTCGCTTAATTTCCAGTCGAATAGTTAGTTCAATTAAATGCTGACGAATATTTATATGAATTATTTCGGGTGATTATAATTTAAATCAATCAAGTTTACGATAAGATGCATTCCGACTCACCGATGAGCCGAGTTACGTAATCCTAATTAGATTGTCCAGTGTTATTCTATTATCATATTCGACCATCAACCGACAAACGTGTGTGTGTGTGTGTGTGCGTTGACCTTAATTCGGTCATCATCATCATCTAATGCCTAATTGTCTACTTTTATGGTTTTCTCTTCATAATATTAAGGTCGTAATATATCATAATTTTTGCTCCATTGAGCTGAGCATTTTTGTTTGATGACCTCAGAGTAGAGTAGTTGTGGTGGTGGTCATGGTGGTCGAGTGCATTGGTAATAATGACCTAATACCCGAAATTCCACTTATTCCTTAATCATTGGTCTCATTTAAATTAAGAAGAGACATTTCATGTTTCTTCTCTTCACCACTTTTTTCTGTTTGTCGTTATTATTGGATTGTTAAGTATAGAAGAAAAGGGTCATAATGAAATGGATAGAATTTTTAAGGCATTGCATGTATATTAATCACAATTTTAATATTGTTAACTAATTTCTCCCTCCAACTCTTGCCTCACAAACTAAGTTTACACCACAAACTATCTTTCATTTGCAGAATAAATTGTCCAGAGGCATGAATAATTCATCATGAATGATGTTATAACATCATATAAGCTATATGCAAATCGATTCACATCTATGTGTTTATTTAATTTGTGTGGTTGAAATCATTCATTTACCCGAAGATTTACTCACAACGATTACTAATAACTACTAGTATTGACCTAGCCATTCATTTGTATTCAGAAATAATCCGTGTGATAGAAGAAAATCACATGCAAGTGAGATTTTAATTGAAATGAAAAATCGAAGAAATATATTTTTCTATTATTCAGTTGTCTGTATGTATGTGTGTGTATGTGGTCAGTTATGAATTCGCTTATGATTGGTTATGATATTGGTTGGAATGGTGAATCAATCATTGTTAGACCACGATTAGAAACCTGCAAGCACTGGATGGCCGTTTTGTCCTAGCATGGCACTCTTCAGTAGTTAGTATCCACAACGCACGTTTTCAGGAATCGAACCCAGGACCTTCGGTGTCGTGCGCGAACGCTTAACCTCTAGACCACTAAGCCAGTATCTAACGGTCTTCATCTCCAACTCCAGTCAATCCACAGTATTGCACGGTTTCATCCACTGTCTTTGGTGTAGGTGACTTCCTACACCCGACAGGGTTTGGACTTCACTAGTCACAACCTCTCGCCAGAACTTCGGGAATTTCCTCATGAACCTAATCACTAGTGACCACATTTTATGATTTTTCATCACAGAGTCCAGTGCTTCTAGGTTTCTAACGATGATTGATTCATGATTTCAATGTAAAACAACATTCTCCATAACTGTATATTGATGTTTGGAGTTTTAGGAAAGATATAATATTAAACACTGATTTATTGAATTATGTATAAATCCTTCATTTTTTTCGTCTGAATATTATTCGAATTACTTATACATATGTGTATACATTTATTGAAAACCGATTCTAAGGAATGCAGGTATATCTAACGGATGAGTGCCAAGTAGAGTGAAACTTGCGTCCTGAATTTCACTACCAGTCACGTCTTATTTATTCTATAGACAGATTAGAGTTTCTCATTAGATGGTGTTATCACATTCTATCATAAAATTGTATGTTACACTTGAAAGTGTTAGTCTGTTGGATTCTGATTAGTAACGCGGATTCATTGGATCATAGCAACAGATTCATATTCTGATACATAATATTTATGGATTTCTGTTAGTTTTTATTGATTTTCATATGAATTACACAAAGATTATTTGTCTATACCATTGATAAAATAAATAAGAATATGAAAGATAAGTAACCTATTCTATGAATGATAGGCTATCGTTATTTATGCCGGTAGTTTTGCACTAAATAATACGATATTTGAAAACATGAATATCATCAGGCTAATATCAATTTTAAGTTGATGAAATAAGTCAATCTGAGCTTCAACCACTTTAGTGTAATATAATCATTATAGTATAAGAGATTCATGGAGATTGATGGATTTTCTAGTTAGAATCATGAATTTACCTTAGTAGGAAAACTGTTAAAAACCAAGAAACACTTTCAAATCCTAAAACAATTTTTGCATTTTAGCCAGCATTTCCAAATTTTGATTAATTTACCAACTCAACTAGTCAGAATTTCTCATCAAATCTTTGGGGAATTATCATTCGAACATAGTCATCTATAACTATATAACTCATAAGTGGTTTAATCATTTTTTAAACTAACAATGATCAGTTTCATTGCAATAATCAATGAGAAGGGAAGTTAAAGTAGTAATATTCATAGAAAATCATAAACATGAATGTATTTACATCAATGATCATAATAATAATAATCGTGTCGAGTGCGCGGCAGTTAACGACTGAAGACATTGGATGAGGTTGCACGTTATCGTAGATTGACTGAAGTTAAACACTAACGGTGTTGGATGTCGGCTTTATTGTCTAGGGGTTGAGCGTGCGAGACCGAAGGTCCTGGGTCCTATTCCTGCATTCGGGGTCGTAGTTATGTACTACTGATGAGTCCCATACTAGGACGAAACGGCTGTTGAATGCTTCTAACTTTCTAATGGTAGTTTAACGTTAATCGATTCATGATTCCAATGAAACTCAACAATCTCCGCAACACTGAAATGAAAATAATAATAATAATAATAATAATAATAATAATAATAATAATAATAATAATAATAGAAAATTCTTTTGAGTATAATGTTTATTATGAAAAACATGTTTCAACTTAAAATAGAATTTAAAGCATATGTTTATCTGTTTACTTTTTTTGTTATCAGTGTGTGTTTGTTTTCATTTTGTGAAGTCAAATCACGTTGGTTTCTTTACTTGGCTTTTTTTGTCTGGTTTAGTAACAAGAATCAGAAGTGATTCTTAAATTATAATGACAATAGAATACATTTTAAAAATGTATTCTACTCTTTTATTTTTACATACAAATCGTCTTCTATTGTCTGGCCTGTTTACTACTACTACTACTACTGCTTGGTTGTCCGTCTAATTACTAATATTCGTGTTTGTATGTGTGAAGATGCATACATAGTTAGGTAGGTAGGGTAGGTAGGTAAGCAGTTTATTGCTCGTTTACACAGGATGGCTGTACGTGACCACAGTTTCGATTTTGTACGAATACATGTATGTATATTTAAAAGTGAACAGATTTGGATTTTTTTTTAAAATAGATACATTTCTTATGTTACAATATTAGTTATCGAATTGTTTTATTAATAACTTGACAAGTATCTTTTTAAATAATCATACTTAGTTATTACTAGAACAGTGTTTATTATACACAGAAGTCAGTCATTTTGAATTGAGAACGAAAACAACAGACCAATGATATGCTGTATAATAAAATGTAGTTAAATAGTAAATTTATTATCAGAGTATATATTCATGGTGAGTGAAATTCGTACATTGAACCGAACTTGTAATGTGTTAAGGATTGAATATGAATATCTGTTGTCACCAGTAGTTTAACAAATCTCTGAACTCATTCTCTCAATTTCTAATCTTCTGAATTCTTCATGACCTTTTTTTTCTCTTCCTAAATTTATTTCACTGAGATATACTTCTTGAATCATATCTTCGGTCTTTAATCTTTTCAATTACCGCTAATACTGTTACAAATTCTATCACTATAGGATTTGAACTACCAATTCCATCTTTGTTTGCTAATGTGGTATGATAAGCTGAACGGATGTACATATGTACTAAGTTCTGTGTTGTTGTTGTTGCTGACTGATTGGCTCACTAAACGCATTCACCATTGCACTTTTCACATTAATAACACTCCATACTATCGAATCATTGTTCACGTAGGTCGAGATCATCAGTTGAACATTGTTAAGGTTTAACCACAGGGTGCTACTATATGATGATATCTATTATGTATGCCCAACAATCGCTTGTTTCAACCCACAATGTTTGCTAGTGTACAATTAGGTTGAGAGAAAGCTAGGGCTCGTCAGAAAAAAAGAGGTGTAACATCATTCCGTTAAGCTATTAACTGTTAGACTGAGTTATGTTATTAATGATTGCACATGATTATCGTAACCTAATAAGTGGTGTTCACTAGTGACATGGCTTGAAATCGGTCACAATAACTCAGATTTACTCACGATTTGTCTTCTTTTAAGACTTGAATTATAGAAGTTAAACTTTCTACTTTATGGACCTATTTTTTCCTGTGTTATTTTTGTCCACACCAAATTTTCTCTCTACTGACATTGTTATTGTTTTTGCTTCTAACATTCTGGCACTTGTCTTGATAATTTCATATTGCTGTGCAAATTCAGTGTAGCAACTTGGATCGATAAACATATTTGCCAGGGTCTAGGTTTGTGAATAACTGACCCACTACGCGCGCGCACACACACACACGAGTACCATCTCATGCAGAAGGACATCAACGATTAACTGATAAAAGCATATACAATTTTTACCTAATTTAATTGTCTAGTTAGCATTCATTCATAGTTTTTGACATAATTATCCTTATACAATGCAATTTCACATATATGTTTATATGTATACTTTTTTTACTTTTTAACACATTCTAGCTTATTTATCAAATGATGTTGTTATACATACAGAACAATCTGATGATCCTGTCCAGAAAACTGTTGATTTCGATTCATCTGATATTGACTTGGAGGCAGAAAGATTATTGATCATGTCAAAATCATCATCATCATCATCATCTGATCAAGCACAAAGTTCATCATTGAAGAATCCAACTTCAATACAAAATGGTAAGATGTTTAAAATAATATAAAATGAAAGAGAGATAGAGAGAGAGAGCGAGAAAGAGAATAGTGTCTTGTCTATAGTGTATAAGAGTTGCACCAATATATCTTGAATAAAATATAATGATTGTCTTCTATTTCAAATTTAATAGTTATATACTTAATATGGTTATGATAACTTAGTACGCGCCGTTAGGGCAGTCAATTGTCAGTTAACAATAGTAAGTAGTTCATAGGTTTAAACCACCCATTACTTAATTCGATTTAGGCAGTAGGGTAGTATAATTAATGTTCTCGTCCTCAAAGTCGGCTTTATAAACTTGTATAAATAAATGACTGATCGCACTGAGTAGTGTGAGTGACCGATCTTGTGTTTATCTAGTTATTTAGTGTCAATCGAGTTTAATCGACGTCTAAGTGACTTGGCATTAGTAGAATTCAGATGGTTGGAAGTAGTCGACAAAAGACCCTAAACTTAAGTTTTGTGCTCTTTCGTATTCACAATCACAGTGAGACTTGATCGATCGGATTCAGTTACCACTAAATGACTGGAGAAACATGTATTTAAGCAATATTCAGAGGTTAATCAATTGTGAAAACATCTCAGTCACTATCCGAGTAGTTCATGCTTCACACTGTGAAACTGGATGACGCGTGTGTTAATCCTACAAGAAATATGTCTTACTAACCAATGCTACCAAACAGAGGATTTAGTTCCAGGGTTTTCTGTTGAATAACTCCAATTGTCGAGCAGGAACCTGTAATTGGTAAATGAACCAGAACTGGAGATTGGTACAAATGTGTATTCTGACTAACACAAACAATCGTTGTATGGATTTATTTCCAGACCTCCCAGAAATGATACAATGATACATGTCGTGATAAATACTTCAGACATTTTATTGACTGACTATAGCTGCTTGGCGGGTTCAACATAGATCTTATCGAATGGTCCACTGAACTTAGACTTTCACTGTTCGTTTATATTGTCGAAGACGTACTTGACCAAAATCTTATAACTTCATTATTTATTATTATTCTTTGACTTATATACAGATCCGGATATTGAGAAGCAATCGTCACTATCATTATCACAAGTTACACTATCTACTACGGTGTCATCATTATCCCCGTTCGATGCACCAATTAGTGCAACATTCAAATTGAGAGGATCAAATATACCATATATCATTGCAATTATCTGTTGTTGTTTAGGCTCATTTGCATTTGCATGCATTTTTGCATTTATGCTATTTCGATTAAAACGTTGTCGAAAAAGACGTTTGAAAAAGTTACAAAAACAACAAAAACTTTCACATACATTAGATAAACAACAATCTTTACATCATCAACATTTATTACTTACAACAGCTGGACAAAATCAGAACTCTTTATCGTCCTGCTTATCTACTCCTCCGATTTCTTCATCATCATCATCTACAACGGTACCAACTTCTGTGCCTCCTGGTATTATTTCTGCTTTAAACAATTCAACATTATATCAATATAATCAATTAAAATTGTCTAATGGAAATCATTATACTACTGGTAATCATGGGAATAGCAACAGCAACAACAACAATAATAAAATGATAAATTCCAATGTTGTCAATCTCTTACAAACTCCTCCAACAATGATGGATATGCCTAATAATAATCATACACATTTAAATGGTACTTTATCTCAAGGCTATTCTGAAGTGTTAACTCATCATCATCCAACTGGAACAATTTGTGCTCCATACTATTCCACTAGTGGCATTGATCAAGGTAATATCATTGAAATGTGTAGAAGTTGTGTGTGTGTGTGTGTGCGATTGTGGTGAACGTTTTTTTTCGTTTCCCATGCATAAGTTCAAGTTGCTTGTGCTATGCATCATAGGTTGCCATTGTCATTTATCTAATAATATTTACCCATTGTTCAATAATTTATGACAGACAATAGGATGATGATGAAGGACTTAGTGATTAGTTTGTCATTTTTGTTTTATGACTCATCGTACTGATCACGTGTTTCTGTCAAAGTTTGATGGATTTTTTTTGTCTTTACAAAATGACTCATAGTCATGACACATCCACATCTGGATAGTTCTTTTTTTTTCTTTTCCATTCATCATTTATCATCTTAAATAGTTTCGAAAGCAAAACAATCATAGTCAGCTTCTTCAATCTCTGAAATATTTTATATATATAGTCTTGTCTGTCATTTCATTGGGATATTTTTCTCTACATCATGAGTCATGTTTTCAGTGCTCAGCATAAAATGTGAGAGATGATACAGCTAATGTGAAGGTTAAGGTATCAAGATATTTTTCCTTTGATTTAATAGTGAGTGAATAAGTGAGTGAGTAGTCTATGTGTAAGAGTTTAATTTATAAATATTAACTAAAATATTTGTAGATAATTTAAGAGAATTAAAATGAACTTTAATCAAAATGAGGTGATAGTATAAAGGTCTTATTATTCATTAAATGATTACCAGATAAATAGCCGGAAGTACTGAAAATATGACATACTTTTCGAGCATTGAAAATATTGCAGATAATACCCCCTCCCCCCAATCTATAAAAACAAAAAATAACTAGCTGTGAAAATTGTTGATCCAGTTTTACGTCTTTTTAATCAATATTTTATCGCGATAATCATTCCAAGTTTAACTCCCTTGTTCTCCAAACCTCAAAATAAGTTTAGTTAACACTTATCTAATAATAATGATAGTAGTCAACTATCGTTACAATATTAATGTAAATAGTACACAATATTACGCAACACATTACAAACTATCATTACACAGTAAACCCATGATCTGATAAGTTGGTTGAATATATAATGTAATTCATATTGTCACGGAGATGTATGTAATTTTTTTTTTAGTTTCTTATTGTTAGCAATAAACTGATAAACTCCATAAGTTAATGATGATTTTATTAGTACTACTGTTGTCTATTATATCTTATAATTCAAGTATGTGTACTTAGTAAGTGAAATGAAGTTTTTAATGCTCAAATTGCACTCTTTACTTGTGGTAAATAGATTTCAGAGATTATTATTATTATTATTATTATTATTATTATTATTATTATTATTATTATTATTACTTATCGGATAAATAACAATTTACGATGAATCGTTATTCATTTCAAATTCTCCCGTTCTCTCTCTTTGCCTTTCCACATATAGTAAAAGTGATTTTATATCTTGTTACACTTTGTTACATTCTATTCAATGAACATTCTTTGAATTCGATTGTTGTAGTAGTGAGCCGGATTTCGTCGATTGAATTTCATAATTAACTGAAAGCAGTTATCTTCTTTTTCATTTTCTTTTGTTGTTAGGATAAGTTGTCTTGATTTCTATCTAATTTTGTTGATTTATTGAACATTTTGGCTCCATCATAAAATTGCCTTATGATAGATTGATTGGTTATTTTCCCTTGTACATAATTGTTATCATTTTATTATTATTGTTTTCATTAAATAACAAGTTAATTAAGAAATAAATATATTTTATTGAGGTAATATCAATAATTATCATAAGAGTTTCTTTTTTTTGAGTTGGAAACATTGACTAGACCAGTTGAGGTTGAAGAGGGGGGGTAGGCTAACATTTTAAAATATCATACAACTAAGATTATTCTATCTAGTCTGACTATTTGTTAATTCATCTCATCTCTTCCCATATAAATAAATAAAGCACTTCTAGTTTTATGTACATGGACATTTACTTATACATGTGTAGATGTACTACCACAAGTACACAGAAACATATACATTTATGTATTCCTTATGGGGGGGGGGTATTCTGTCTAAATTACAATCTGGTGTGTTTTACAATGAACCAAGTTATTTTTTTTTGCCAATTGACAATTTAAATGTCTCAATAAAAAATATTATGTAGTAATAAAAGAATAACTTAGGCTAATAATAATGTGAGAAAATATGATTTTGATTCTGTCTGCTAAGAGTGAGAGAGAGAGAGAGAGAGGAGAGGATGATGGCGTTGTTAGTGTTGGTAGATAAGCCCAACTTATTTACTTATCTTATTTATCTTGTTTCTAAGACAATTAGTTATCTAGTAAGTATGACAATTATGTATAGGGTGGGTTTGTTAACCGACAATCTGATAGGGAGAGATAATAAGTGAGTTACTGGTAAATGGTAGTAGTAATAATAATAATAATAATAATAATTATAATAATAATTTACAGTTAAGTCGTGGGATTTTTGAATATAAAACTGCCACTATTATAGACAACATAATCAGACAATCATTAATGTTTTTCATTCAACTGGGAAATTACAATTAAGTCCGACATGTGTTGTTTAAGTGTGTGGCTTGCTTTGATTATTCTTATCTTATGCATATTTGTACAGTTTATTTCTTTGATAAGAGCTCAGTGTACATGCGTGTGTTTGTGTATTGTATTAGATTAGGGTAGTAATTTGGTAGTTAGGGCAGTTGAATAATCCAGCATATAATACAGAATTCGATGTTTTTGATTAGTTTCAAACACATAAACATTATCTTACCATCAGAATAACATGCCTTATTGTAGGAATAGATATTCAAGAAGATATCTGATTTTTTTTGATTGATTTTTTGAGAAACTAATGAGTTTCATGTGATGATTTTACTGCATTTTATATTGTACAAGTTAATCAATATAATCCTATTGATATTGAATGTCTAACACATTATGAGTTCGATATAGTATATGAAATCTGAATACATTACAGCTAATGTTGTCCATCATTAAAATTTTAAGTAGTGAACTCAAATTCTATTTTTAAGAAAGCAAGAGTCATAAAAAGGCATACTATCGATTGACTTGAAACACATTTTCTTTTTAAGTTATAGTCTGTTAAAGAGGTTATTGAATTTATGAAGATTCATACTGTGAACTGCGAAATGCCCTAGACAACCACTGAAGAACCATAAATCACTGCACAGCTGTTTCCCTACTAGTATAACAAATAAATGATGTTCAGAATGTAAACTATTGATCGGTAGGTTAAACGTTTACCTCCAGAACTGAAGGTCATAGATTTGATTCCTGGTAAGGTTATGTGAGTACGTACTACTGAGCGGTCCCATAGTAGGAGTAAACAACTATCCAGTGTTTTATCAGTTGTTCAGTCAAATCTAGTTTGTAGTGTAAAATCAGAAAAAAACAGCAATAAAATGTTGCTTTGTAAATATCTTTTATTACTTTAAACTATAAAACATTAATATTTTCTTTAATTAACAAACATTTTAGATGGCTTGCTAGCTTTGCAATTATTACAACATGGTCATACGGTCGGGTCGAATTTCTCTGCATTGAATGGTTTGACATTAGCTCGTCGTGGATTATCTGATAATAATAATAATAATAGTAATAACAAAAATAGTCCTAATGTTTTCACTGCACATCCAATGGTTACACTAGGAACAGATAACAAAGTAATTGGTGTAAATTTACCGCCAACACCACAATTAAAAAACCATTTACTCTGTCCACAAAACAATACTAATAATATTAACAATATTACTAACGGTGTAATGAATTCCGCTTTTGTCGGCCCGCATTCGACAATACCCTCACCTCTTCCTCCTCCCCCTCCACCAGATCAACCGTTACCACCTTTGCCGAATTTATCATCAAATGCAAACAATACAAATAATCACTTATTGATTAATACATCATTGTCTCCTGTTTTCCCGTATTCTGCCTCTGCCGCTGTATCACAAGCATATCCAACTGAAAATGGTTTTATATTATCTATAGGTATGTTTCATAAACTTGCTGATATATATATATATATATATATATATATATATATATATATATATATATAATATTCGATTACAAGTGTTTTCTTTTATTGTTCGCACATAAAAATTAATGTATTGAGTTTGTAGAATATTATGGAATATTTGAAATCATCAATCTATCATTGTTAGACCACCATTAGAAACCTGGAAGCATTGGACGGCCGTTTCGTCCTGTTATGGGACTCATCAGCAGTGCGCCAATGGAGTTCAACCCTGTCGGGTGTAGACACTAACTACCAAAGACAAATGGGTGAGGTCGCGCAAAAATCCGTAGATCAATCAGAGTTAGACATTAACACCGTTGGATGACGGCCCAGTGGTCTGATGGTTAGGCGTTCGCGCACAGTACCGAAGGTCCCGTGTTCGAATCCTGCGAGGAGCAGGAGTCGTGGATGCGCACTGATGATGAGTCCCATACGAGGACGAAACGGCCGTCCAGTGTTTCCAGGTTTCTAATGGTGGTCTAACAATGGTTAATTGATGATTTCAATTGTGTAAAAATACAAATCTCCAAAACTCTAACCGAAAACATTATGGAATAATCACGATTATTTCTATGAATAAACAAATTTTTCAGATGTGTGTTAGCAGAGATATCCGTGGGAATATATGATCAATAGTTAAATGTTAGTTTAAATAATTTTTTTTTGATTCATGAGAGGATTATTCATGGTATGAATCCATTTTCCCTTATATTACTCACCTAATTGGATCAAGAGATTATCGAGCGTATCACTGTTGCTATTCGAGATAGAATAATGCTGTAGACGTCATGGATATTGAATAAAATATTAATGACTAATATCTAGATTTAATTGTTCAGTGGGCATTGAGACGAGCACTTGAATTGAAGGATGTTCGATTTTAGTCTTCATTTCCTAATGGGATGCAAGCACATTCAACTGATGAGTCTTCATTTGGACAAAGCTCGAGTCTTTTATTGGAATCAAGCTAGCTACAATCTATTTATTCTAACTAACTAGTTATGTTTAGAACATGATAACTACTGCTTTTTTTTTTACATACATTCATTTTTATTCTTTGCTTTTATAGACAGTCCAATGCCAGAATATGCAAGTGCTTCACTATTCAGTGGTACAGGAAGTGGAACAATTAGTTTAGGTCCAAATGATCTTAGAAATTCAATCATTTCAAAAACTACCCTGGATAGTAGTTGTGATGCAAATAAATATAAACAATTAATGGAAACTTATTGTGTACCACAACATATGAACTCATATTTTTGGCCATCAAATAATACCAATCATGTAAATCAATATCAGCTAAATTTTGATGGTATTCCTCAACTATCTGCTCCTATTGCAGTGACAGTACAAGCAGCGACAACAGCAACATCACCATCCGATACTACTCATCAAAATGCACAAAATAGTAGTATGGATAATGAAAATCTTTCAGAAAGTTTCGATTCCAGTGGTATGTATTATTTAACGCATAGAAAACATTACATCAATGCTAATAATAACAATAATAATAATAATATTTCCTCGAATTTAATTCATCAAAATCCTGCAGTGTTTTTACCACTGAATGTTGGTCCGGGTGCCTCACCGACAGTCGCCGAAGCACAACCACCACCACCTCCACCACCGGGTACACATTTAATACCGATTCGTACAATCGGTCTACGATCAGCCAGTGGTAGTGCCACGAATGGTGGGATTATACTAGCGAATAAAGATGATTTAATATCTAATATACATCATCAATCTAATCTAACTCAAACTACTACTAGTCCAAATCATTTTTACCATCATCATCATCATGGTGATGAAGAGAAGAAAGATTTAAACAATTTTACCATACAACAAATCACCACTATTACACCAAATAGGTAGGCGATGTTCGCGTTTTTTTTTTTGTAGATTTCATAAATCAGAAACTTTTTCTACTGTTAACCAGTTCATTTCATATTACGACGAAATGTGAAGAACATTGAATTATGTATAGGCTTTGATATTCAATATTGTTACATTGATTGTTTCAATGAAAGAAACTCTATGTTTTCCCTGTGATGATCATAGTTCTCTTATTATAGTGTTATGCAAATTATTTAACATACTACCCATTGAAAAATTTTAAACACAATGCCATAATGCTCTCTTATCATTTGTAAAATTATTATTATTATTATTATTAAGAAATAAGTTTTACTATTCGAAATGTTTTTGCTTCGCGTCTGCAGAACATTTTTTTAAAATTTGTATAGCGCATGTTTTTGATTACTGAAAGTTTCTTTATTGTTTACAAAATTTTTACAAATAATACTGTGTAGTATGTTGAAGGGGGAGTTATAATAAATTCTGTAAATTGTATTTTCTATTATGTGTGTACATCTTTTTGTTTCTTTCGTACAAGATGTTTGATTATCATTAGGATTGTTAGTAATGTGTAAATCTTGTCAAAATATTGATCGTAGTATTGATAATAACAGTACTGGTGTTGATAGCTTCATGTCGTCAATACACTCATGTATTTTATGATGCCCTCTCTCGCCACCCCCCCCTTCAAAATTAATCATGTAATTTTATGTCTATGTACAGTAATTCGAGTTAATTCTATGCCTTTTTAGTCATATTGTTGGAGTTGTTTGGCTTTTGTTTTGCAATTTCAATCCTTATGTGAACAGATTAATTCAGTTTCATAAACACAACGAAATATCAAAGGTATTACATCATCTTTGCTTACTAAGTCGATTTTTTTCAAACAATCTGTTTCTCCTTCCATTCATTTTTACACATGCAGAAGATGATGATGATGAGGAGAGTTGGGCAAATTTTATTACCATTTTTTTCTCATTGCTTACTTTTTCTGTTGCACCATCATTTATGCTTGTTTGGTAGATTCGCCTATATTCTATTTCAGATTCATTATTATTTAGAAAGAAAACAAATTGATTGATGAACGTGCTAATGATAATACTCATAATAATAATAAGTTCAGTGTATATTACACTATTTGTAATTCTTTTCTTTTCCAACTAGTGTGTATGTTCTATATTATTTTAAAGTGTGAATTGTCAATGATTAGTTGAGTACAAACAAACAAACATAGTTATGGTTATCTTATATAATTGTTTTGTTCTGTTTTTTTTTACTTCGCTGGCTATTATTGTCGTTGTATTCAATTATCATCGTTGTCTTTTTTCATTTTCTTTTTTTTGTTTGTTTTTTTTCTACGAAATTTCAAATATTTAAATAAATAAATAAACTGAGCGCCTTGATTTTGTTATTATGAACTCTTTGTAATCTATCTATCTATATATATTAATATGTACTCATCATCTACACAGACATGGATATGTACATCAATTCACATCGGTTATTTACCTATCGATATATATATATATATATATATATATCATCCTTCTTTATTTTTCCCTTAAAATTAAGAAGCGATAAATAAAACTACACTCACTTGTTGACAGATTTTTCTTTCATTTTGTCCTCCCCCACCGCAATTCACTTTTCTTCACATGCTATTCTCTTTGTTTTATCACCTTGACTTTGTATGACACATACGAAAGTATTGACATGTTTTTTTTCCCTTCCTTCATTCTTTTTCTATGCGAAGAATATGACGGCTGTTATTGATTTATGGAATAATTATTATCATCGCTATTGTTATATATCGTTACTATTATTATTATTATTATTATTGCTACAATTCTGATTAAGTCAATCGGGATCAGTATTGTATTATTTTCTTTTTTTCTTTTTTGTACATTATTCATGAAAAACAAATTAAATTCTTATAGAAAAAAAACGAAGAATTTCAATGTGTTTAAATAGGAATTCCATTAAAATTTTTAAGTGCATTATTGCATATACTGTTGAAATGATTTGGAGTAGTCGATAGAAATTTTAGGTTATAGTTTTATTGTTACTAGTAGTTGACATTTGTTAACAAAGCGTAAGGTATTTTAAATCTTGAAAGAAGCTAAATACTCTTGATTGAAATAAGAATTCGTGTCGCACAGTTTCATGAGTTCAAATGAATTGTAGCAGTATGAAGACGAACTTGATCGATAGGATCCAATCAGCTCTATTTACTTAAAAATATATGATAGGTTATTACTCAGCGATCGATTTGTGTGAATACAAGCAATAAGCTGTAACCTGGATTTTCTAATGATAACTTCTTTGACATGGGGTTCATAATCCAACTAATTTAAGATTTAGATCAACCAACTAGAGCATCTTGATTAGTAAGTAAAACCAGCTAACACAAAATAATTAGTTCATTATGTAGTGTTTATTGGAGATTTATCGGTTAATAACTATTTGAATAGTGAACATTTGTTTAAATAAAAATCAAGTTACAATTGAACTCTAACGTCTTGTTATTAGTAAAGCTAAGGAGATATGTTCATAGATGCAAGAAGACATCTAAGTTGTTTCGTTTATTAAAGTTATTTGCTATATTTAAGAGAAATTCGAATTCATTTATCTTGAAGAAGTTAGTTCGGTAGGGAAGATACGGATTACTTCTTGATTAAGCTTCAAAACACTGAGTTCTCTTTCTCAAATAAGAATACAGTCTATGGAGTGAATTCGTAGTGAGCTGTTACTACAACGGGAAAAAATTGATAAGGATATTTATAGTGATTTAAAGCCCGAAAATATCTACTTTCTAAGAGGTTATAAAAACTATATGAAATTCATAGGACTGAGAAATCTTGTGCGTTCTCTTTTTATTGGTGAATAATTCCACATTGATTACAAACTTACCGGAAAGCTTGTTTAAATACAGATATTTTAAGATCCATATTTTGATTTTATCCGAATTCTCGGTACTATTTTCTAGATCAGTAATGGAATTATATGGATTTGTCAGATTGTATCGTGTATGTTGGTTGATGGAATTTCCAACAAGATGTTAATTTTTTCTTTGTATAAATCATCAGTCGTGATCAACTTATTTATCACATCAATATAACTTCGGTTTGTGCTAACTATTGGCTTTTAGATTCATTGATCATTATTGTACAACGTGTTCTGTTAGTTACATCACTGGAAAAAAAAACCGAAAATGACAACCTTTCTTTTAATGTGATAATATCAAATAACCTAAAATAGTTACAGTTCTATCTCATAACCAAAGTTGAATTAATTTTGCATAGTTTTATTTACTTCCCAGTTATAAATATTCATTTTTTTCTTTTGTCGAACAAAAAATTTCGTTATAAACAAATATCTACTATAATCAGATAGATATAAAAAAGAAGGTACAAATAAGACATGTATACAATAAATTTAAATGGCGGAATACTTACTTACAAAGTTTATTATCTTTGTTAGTGACTTAATTATATCAAATGAGATCGAGTTTTTATTTGAGGTTAATGAAAAACAGCTAATCAGACAGTCGTCGGAAGACAAAATGATTTAATGAAAACCGACTAATTTGCATAAATAAACATCAGTTTGTTACGAATGTTGAAAAAGAAAAAAAAATATGATTCCAGGGGCTGACAACGAAACACAACACTTATGGTTATGTTCAAAGAGTGATGAACGCATTAGAAGCACTTCAAAATCAGAGTGTAGCCTTAGTTGGTTAGAGACTTGAAGGGGAACTACACCAACGATGGCCAGTAGTCCTACGTATCAGCAGTGAAAAACGTAGGTTCATGAGATGGAAATCGGTTGGTGGAATTGCGTTGGCCTGCGGTTAGGTTGTTTGCCTGTAATTACAGCTACTAATAAAGTGTCCTATTGTTATTGAAGAGAAGGGTTCCAAGTGGCCAGTGGAGACTATATGAGAAGCGAAAGAAGACAGTCTGTAACCAACTTGTATAGCAGAACACAACAAGACACAGACGGGTGAATGAAGGCTAAGGAGATTCCGTAACTTCACGAGGAAGACATTCCTTCTGTTCCGTAGCTTGTTCGTACATCTGGTGTCGCAGTTGAGATAAATCTAAGAACAAGCCACTGGGCAGAAGGAATATCTGTTTAATGAATCTACAGAATCTTTTTGTAATATGTTCGTCTAGTCTGCACACCTCCTATAACACTTCTCTCCGGCAGCAACTTTAATGAAATGTCCCACTACATACTGCTTGCTTAGAGGCAATCTTGTGTAAAGCATCTTCCACACCATTACTTCGCTCAAGCTGATTTGCTGGGGTAAAAGTAGATTGTGTTTGGTGAATTATCCATCATAATTTAGTATTTTGACAATCTTTCTTGTGTGTTCATTCACTTAACACATCTCTGATCTGTAGAAACTAAGTAGTTTGACAGTTGGTGTTTTAATTATACAGTATTTCAGCCGTAATTTTATGTAGGTTGGAAGTCCTTGTCCTGTATTTCTGAAATTGGGGATGTATGAATATAATGTGATGCAACGATAACGTCAGGGGTCTTAAAAGTGATTCATTCAACAATGATAACAGTATTTTTAAAGCTAATTAAACCACTGTTTAACGTTAATGGAACTTAAATAAGATACTGGAATTGATATTTGGAACTGTCAATAATTATTGTTGGAAATAATCATAAAAATTTATTCAATCTGTGTGTGTAGCAAATCATATACATCAATATACTTATGATCTTTTCTATGATAATAAGTAACATTCACCAGTTCTTATCCACTTTCGCTGTGCTCATAATTCTCCAAATTCTAAGATCATTTGTCATCGGTCCTAGGAATATCTTTGAAGTTAAACTTCACACATCTAATTATCCTTTTATTGATTCAAGATTCAATATTCATCACTTGTCTGGAATTTAAAAATCAATGAAGAATTTAGTATGAATTGAGTAATACTCAATGGTGCCGTACGAACTTTCCTACCCTGCGATTACAGACATTTTGCGATTCATGCAGTTAATGAGTTTTGAATATTTGAGTATAATTTCAAGTAACTAAATTTTACTGCAATCTATGTTCGAGATGTCTGGCCACACTATCATACGGAAGTATCACAAATACATGGTTTTCAAATCTAACAGACTAAAATCATTCTAATCAATACTTTTTATAAAAAGAATAAAAAAAACAATATCAAATAGAATGGCTATTGTCTACAGATTTTATACAATACCGAAGAATATAAAACATGGTATTAGCGTCAACTTATTCATTTATGTATACA